CTCTGCTTACGTGGTAGCACAGACTGATGCAAGTCCAGAGGTGGGCAACGGAGCTGGTGAAGGGTCTGGAGCACAAGTCCTATGAGGAGCAGCTGAGGGACCTGGGGTTGTTTAGCCTGGAGAAAAGGAGGCTCAGGGATGACATCGCTCTCTACACCTACCTGAAAGGAGGTTGTAGCCACGTGGGGATCGGCCTGTTCTTCCATGCCATGAGCGACAGGATGAGAAGGCATAGTCCTAAGTTGCACCAGGGAAAGTTTAGGTTGGACATTAGGAAGAATTTCTTCACAGGGCTACTAGACGTTGGAATGGGCTGCCCGGGGAGGTGGTGAGGGGTCACCATCCTTGGAGATGTTAAAGGAAAGACAGGATGTGGCACTCAGTGCCATGGTCTAGTTGACAAGGTGGTGTTTAGTCATAAGTTGGGCTGGATGATCTCAGAGGTCATTTCCAACCTAAATGATTAGTGAAGTGTCTTGCTTCTGTAGAGTCTCTTTGGGATGCCTGGTGCTAGAAGCTGGCAGACTGCTAATGTGTTTTGTTCGGTCTTTGTTTCATTCTGTTGTCCCTTAAAGGAAGAATGCCAGCTGCGGGACAAGGAGTGCAGGCCGTGCCACGTCCACAGGTACTGGTGGGATGTGGCGATTCTACACTGAGGACTCACCGGGGCTCAAAGTGTAAGTTGGATTAATGTGTGGTGGCAGGCACGGGGTCTGTAGAGTTCTTCTGTTTATATAATTTTTCAGTCTGTAAATTATTAATAAACTATCAGTATCCTAGTGTGCATGGGAAAACATGCTGAATTGGTGGCTGGGTTGACACATTTTATTTATTGTGTAAACCTGGAGAAGTACTTTTAAAATTTATACTGGTTTGAAAAAGGTAGGTACAAGTTATATTTTGTAATTGCCTAGGCTTAGTTTAAGTGGTCTTTGAAGACTGCAAAGTTGCAGTCTTTGAAGTTGAAAACTTAGGCATCTGTGTGCATGTTTTTGTTCTCTTTTAATTAAAATTTTGGGGTTTTTTTTATTAGTAGCTATATTGTGATCCTCTGCACCCACTTGAAAATACAGTATAACTGATATACTGTATGGTTGCATAATCTCAAGTGTCTCTATTAAAAAGCTGCAGATAGACAACTTTAGCTAAGCTTGCAAAGCAAATAGCATTGCGATACCTCGTATATCATTGTTTTTACAAGATGAATATTCCAAGATTATGGTCAAATAGCTGGTGTTGTCCCTTAAACTCTAAAGAGAGCCTAAGTTTTTACTTTTTGGGCATTTCTAGTCATTCAGATCAGTTTCCCAGACAAACTTTGCAGCCTAATACTTGGGTAACAAAGGTAGAAGGTGTATTTCAGCTGATGAGTGCACGCTAAGTCATACCCTGAGTGGGAACTTTTGCTTCTTGTAGAGTGATACTTCATGGCCTCTTGTTCTTACTGGGTTGAGGAATCTCAAGACACTCAGGGCTGTTTCTTGGTTTGTTTTTTTTTTGTTTTTTTTTTTCCACAAATCCATTAGCATTTACTTTTGGAGCTCTTTAAGAGGACTTCTGCTGGCTGCAGAAACAGAACATTTGGGTAAGGGTTGGCGATAGTCTAGTTAATGATAGTTCCACGAGTAATCCTTCTTTTGAAGTTCTCTTATGTGTTTTCATATGTGCTTGACACTTTAAAAGCCAAAACCTATTCAATAAACAAAGTAGTGATGCTGTCTTGCGTTCTCCATTCTGAACCCAGAGAAGATACAAGGCAAAGAAAAGAAAAAGACAGTGAGCAGCAATAGTGTTCTAGAGCAAATCTGTGCAGATAGGAAGGGCAACTACTTTCTGTGTTATTTGATCTACTAAAATTCAATTTAAAAAATGAGTGAAACCAAACTGAGAAAAAAACAGAAGGGGGCTACCATTAGGTAGATTTTTAAAAAAATAGATGTGTGATGCAAACTGTCAAAGCACCTTTAACAATTTTGATAAGTTTCCTTGTGAATCCTTTGGTTTCCCTTTTGATATTGAATGACCACTGATTTTAGTGGCCATTCAGCATCAACTTGAATTCAACATCAAGTTGCTTGTACTGAGTTTGCACTCAAGCTCAGTACAAGCAGGTCAGTAGATAGATTTTCCCATCTATTTGTGTTGCAATACATTGATTTTCAGTTTTAAGGCTTTGGAACACTGGGAGTGTTTCTTGGGGTTTTTTTTGGAAGCTGCTGTGGGTAGCTGCATGGTCAGGCTTTTAGTGAAAGAATTAAAAGTGAGTTGGTTTTACAAATCACTTGCACATTAGAAGTAACATTTTCTGAGCCATGTCTTGGGAGCAACTTTCTTGCTTACAGCTTTCCATGTATTTTTCTGTATGTTTTTTTCCATAGCAACCAATTGTTATGATCTCTGTCCTGTTTAGTAGGCTTCAAGATGAAAATGGCCTGTAGTGGGGTTGTGTTTGCCTCAGGAGAGTGATTCAGCTGAAGTTGTTTTTAAAAATGGTTTGGATCACTACTGCATGACGTAATGTGAAAGCTTAGCCTGATAGTGGTGAGTGGTTGGTGTTTTTTTAAATTTTGTTTAAAATATGAGGTCCTTACTATGAAAAAATACATAATCCACCTGAGAACAGGTTAGTTCATACTAGCTAAGATCAGGAGAATTTCTAGAAAAAAAAAGTTCTATATTTCATATTTTGCGTAATTATACTGATGCTTCAGTTATTTATTATCTGTATTCAACATCCAAAACAGTAAATATGTTGAATAGGCAAATTGGTTTGGCCTCAGGAAAGATCATTTCTCTGTAGTACAGGATGCTATAAAATGTATGTCTTCAAAAGCAGTATTAGCAAAAGGGAGTTGTGGAGTGTCTGGATGAGAGTGGGATATGACATTTTTCTCTTTAAAGCTCAGATCAAGCATCATAGGCTCTGGAAAGAAAACTAAACCCAAACTTTTCGCTCTTTTTGTGGCACTTTTGTACTTGTTTTCCTGTATCTTGTAGGCTTTCTTGCTTAAAGAGGTACAGACAGTGTTTCCTGTGGATAGGGAGTCAAATCAGGCTTGTGGTATAATATGCAGCCTTGTGAAAGATGTTCTGCAAATGCACAGTACCAAATCTTTAGAGGTGCCTGAATCCATTTATTTATTTAAACTGCATGGTGGGCTGAGAAGGTGCAGGTGTATGGAGGAGAAGTGCAGGGTTTCAGCAGGTTATCTTTGGGACTGAAGGAAATGAGGTACATGTGTCTGTATTGGAGAGCTGGTTATTCTCTAGGGGTTCAATGTCATCCGCATGTTTAAAAAACACACTGAACACACAGTAAATCCCCACTATTTATTTTCGTGTGACTCTGTTCTGATTAGTGGTGCTCCTTTATTCCTGTGTGCCTTTGGCAGAGCAGCTTATGTATTCCTACTGCTACAGGCTTGGATGAATTAAGTAGTAATTCAGATGCAGTGTAAGGACTTCATGCACTTGATATCCTTAAGATTTACATTGTGTGGGATATAAACTTCAAATATGTATAGAATGTTGGTGATTGAGAAGTACATTTTGTTGGTCAGTGAAAGATACCCCTTGACACGGGTTGCTTATGTAGTCACTGTGTGTTCAGACTTTGTTTATTTTGCTCATTTTGCTATTGGTTTATTTGCTAAATACTTTGTCTGTGTTCGGTGTTCTCCCTACTCAAATAAGTCTGATAGATAATAATTGAGTTTTAAAACTCAATGTAAGATTACAGTTACGACCATTTGAAGTTTGTAGACCATCTTCTCATAGAAAAATGTGTCAGTTACTTCCAGTCTTTTCAGTTTCTTTCTTTACTTTCTAGTCAGATAACATTTACCTGCTTAAAAACAGTAACCTGTAGGGTAATACAGGCTGGATAACAGATTTCATGGTGTTTCTCCCAGTTGCATGTTGAAAATCAGAAATGAAATTGTATGAAGTGAGTGGTATGAAGCACTGTTGAGTGTGTGTAATTGTGTAATAGTGCATGTAATTGTGTCTCAGAACAGCATGAAATAGCTGATTTAATCTATCGACATGCACCCTAAGGTTAACCTGTTTTTTAAAAACATCTCTATACAATTTCTAAACAGTATATAAAAGTATGAAGGGAAAAAAATAAGAAATTTGTTAATTATACCTTTTAGGTAAAGATTTAATGTTGTTAACTTTCACATTTCATGTATCTTTTTCAAGAAAAGAGAAGTCCCTGTCTCTCACCCACTGCTGATGTTGTTTTCAAATGAAATAAAACCTTTAAAAAAACCCAGCTAATGCGAATTTTATGCCAAAATTTTAGTAGCCGCTAGAGGACTCTGTTGGTTTTTGTATCAGAGTGTATCTCTGCTCAGGTGGCTGAGTAGTAAATACGGATGATAATTTTCCAGAGATTTTCACAGCGATGTGTAATAATGAACCATTAAGGGCTTTTTAAATAAGTTGTGTTTTTGTTACTCTGTTGCGCTTTATTGTGTAACGTTTAGGGTACGGGATACTGTATCTTTAAAAACAAGAGCAGCAGCAGTTTTGAATAGAGATGGCTATCTCATTTCTATGTACTTTAAGTTATTTCTGTGGGAATGGAAGGAGAGTTTTCTTGTACAGTTGCTTATGAACTGATGAGCTCACTTGGCTGATAATGACTGGCCTTTGGAGAAAGCAGATTTTTTTTTATGTTAATGCATTTTTTTCTTTATTTGTAGTGGGCCTGTTCCAGTTTTGGTCATGAGTCTTCTTTTTATTGCTTCTGTGTTTATGCTGCACATCTGGGGTAAATACACTCGTTCCTAGACTCAGCTGCCAACTTAAAGCATACATCTTGGACCAAAACTATGGTGGATCCTGGTTGTTCTTGGAGAGAGACTGGGGAAGCTTCCTATCACCTGTTGAAGTCCTGTCAACTTTGGCTATAATACCGAATTAATTTCTCAGTTCACTACTTGGGCAGCTTTCAAGTCTGTCATGGGTCATTTTATATTTGTATCTGTACACTTAGAATACAGGTATTGCAATAAAAGTTGTATATGGAAATAGAAACAGTCTTAACTGTATTTTTTCCTCTTCCAGCATACCACAGCTAGCACATTATACTTGTGGTTTTCATATATAATCATATTTCTGAGTAACTGTCATTTGACAGTTCAAGCCAGATTCTTCTATACTATACATTCCTATATAATTTTATACTAGAATATCTTTTTTTTTTTTGAATGGGAGAAGCAAAATCAGGTTCACAAACACGTGAAGGTAACAAATGTACTCGTTGAAATAAAACTGAGGTACCTGAGCTGAGCTGGTCATGTTCGTCTGTTAACTCCAGGAAAATAGCTGGATTTATTTATTTCCTAAACGCAAGTTAAACTTTAGTCAGTGCTCATACATAAAAGTTATCTATGTATGCTTGTTTTTTCAAACATTGCTTGAGGAACAACATGAACTGGTACCTAACTGATTTAAAAAAGAATAATTGCATGGCTGTCAAAGACATGTTTCGCTTTCAGGCACATGGTGTGATTCTTAGGGCTGTCCTGTGTGGGGACAGGAGTTTGGACTTCGGTGATCCTTTTGGGTCCTTTCCAACTCAGAATATTCTGTGATTCTGTGACTCTGCAGGTCCAGACTCTTTCAAGGAGACTTAAATGGAATGGGAAGACTGGAAAAGCAATGACTGCATTTTAAATAACAGGACTTGCAAACATGTTGAGATACAACTAAGTGGCTCTTCAGATAATCACTTCAGTTTACTTCTGGGTGTTATTTTCCTTTTGAACAGTCAGACACTTCGGTTTACTTCTGGGTGTTATTTTCTTTTTGAACAGTCACACATCTCTTCCTTCTCTTTTTAAAGGTATCTACGTGTTTTCACAATAGCATTTCTCACTGCCAGTAAGGTCTTGAAGTTGGATAGAATTATTTTAGCCTGTTTTTCATGTTGATTCTTGTTTGACTATCAGCTTGTAATGGCAAAACAATATTCTTAGTTATGCAGCCTTGATACAAGTGTTGACTGCATGTTATAGGAGCAGCCCCTCTTACTCACCACCTTCCTTTAAAGCATTTCTTAAATTAGCATTACTTCTGAAAAGACCAAACTGTACAGAACAAAACCAAGAATAAGAAATATGATCTTGGGGCTAAAAAGATAATTGCTTTGAGCTGTGCTTATGCCATGTACCTAGTGTAAATATAGAGGGAAAGACAGAAGACTTGGAACAGAAACTGAAAATTATCTTACAAAATGTAATAGTAGGAGAGTTATATTTTTAGAGGGTTGGAAGTTGAGGAAGAGGGAATTCTGGTGACTCAAAGGCAGTGGGGTAGCAGAATACATTAAATTGGTAGAAACTGAGACAAATAAATCGTTTATCAAAGGGAAAAGGATCCATAAATTATTTACCTCTATGCATATGGAAGTTAAAACACAAGGGAAAATAAAGCAAGTACGGGGGTTAGCTCACTGCTTCAGAAGGCGGAAATAAGTATCTCTTACTTAAATGCTTTGCTTGGCAAGAAAATAAAATCTGTACAGTCAGCAATTTCATCTTAAGGCAAGAAAATGCTAAGAGAAGACCAAATGCAAGTCAGTTGTTCTGCTGACCATGTGAATGGACTCTGTTGCTTACTTAATTTGTGGGGCTCAAAGAAAAAGGAATAAAATATTCTAAAATAGGGTAAGGGTAAGGAATAATAAGTAACAGTAATATCAAAGTATGTAAGCTCTTCTTTCGTATTTTTTTCTAATACACTGTTAAACTGCTTTCTAATACAGCAGGCAACAGTTTTCTTTGAAACACTTCCAGTCCTTAAAAGCTGTTTTCCCACACCAAATAATTCAATTTAAAACCTTCCATATTTTTGCTTGTTTGGTATCCTGCTGCTTCTAAAGATCAGTATCAATGACAAACTCGGAAAAGTGATGGGGGACAGATTATTACTGTACAGCCTTTTAGTATGCTTTTAATGCATTTAAATGCATTTTAATGCATTTAATTCAACTGAGTATAAAAATGTTGACAATTTTGACAGTGCTGTCCTTGCTTAAATTATTTGTTTTCTAGAATGGCCTGTATCATACATTTTTGTATGCAGTGTCAAAAGAGTTTAATGTCTCTAGTCTTGCAAAAATTAGCTCCCACCCCTTCTTGGCTTTATATTTTGTGTCAACTTAGCTGTGGTGATACTTTAGTTGGATGCAGCTAGGTGAAACATCCATAGCTTTGTTTTATATTCATTGTACTTGATTAAAACACAGATTTCTCTATTGTATGTTTTCAATTTGGGATTATTTTAATGATTAGCATAAATCTGTTGGATATTCATGCTTGTAATTTTAGTATTTTGTGTGCACGAGTTGTAGTGCAGTCTTGCAGTTGATGTTTATCAAACTTCAGCTCCACAGAAGTACGGACAAAGAAATGCAGGTTGCAAAGACTTACCAGAAGTTTGGCTAACCTCGGTTAATAAATTATAGCCATACGAATAAACAGTAGCTAATTCAGTGTGAATCTGAACCTGATGCAGTTGTAGGGCTTGGTAGACCTAGCTTTCTAATTTTGTTCCATTATTGTTTCCATACTCCTTGCTGAAAAGCTTTTTTTAATTACCTTTTATGGTGTTTGGGGAATAATTTAAGAAAGAAAGAAAGAAACAACAAAAACTTTACAGAAGGTTGAAGACTCATCCATGGAGGAACTCACAGCAGTGGATAGAGTTGGAGCCTTTCTCTCCTCTCTTCTAGTTGGAATTAAATAATACTCATCTCCCTTTTGTCTGTGTGCAAAATTACCTAATGATAGGATTACTTTCATTGAATGAAAGAGTTTGCAGAGTGAGAATGTCTCTCTTGTTTCTGAACTTAGAAAGAACCTCACAACATCTTTGGAAGGAAGAAAAATGTTATTACTGGTTCTGCTTCCAAGAATATTTTCCACTTCCAAGCTGAAATTATTTCTAACCACTTTTTGCCGCCTGGCAAACTCAAGAACAGAAGAGAATCAGATAGGGCCTCTTGCCTCAGACCACTGCATGAAGATTGACCACTTGGAGGGGAAAATTTTTCAGTAAAATGACTTCTTGCACCAAACCTTATAACTCTGTTGTTTAGACTGTTGTAGCTATAGCAGTGTAACTTCTCTGAAAAGGCATCTATATTCTGCAGAAAGCACAGAGGTATTTTATTCGTCCTGGTGTCCAAGAAAGGTGGTTCACCTGCAGCTGTTCCTGATATTTAAGGAATGACATTACTTCACACAGTGATAATCCTTTCTCTCCATTTTTTCCTGACTTTTCTTGAGGATAGGTATCTTGATGAACTCCTTTTCTCTGTGTGAGTGACACTGAAATCTCTCTAAGGTGAGATTTATCTTCAGATGAGTTAACTTTTAACAATGTGTCTGCTAATGGTTTTGTGCCTTTTGTAGGCACTGGTGACAAACCTGCATTTCTAGCCTTTAGTTCTGCTAACCTGTTTTATTGTCAGGTGAAAAGGTGCTATATAGGAACCTGTACCTCCAGGCAGTTGAAGAACTGTGGACAGCAACTCAGAGTAGTTGGAGCATTTGTCAGTGCTATAGGTGTCAGATTGAGATGAAATCCAACCCTTCATCCCAGCTGCTGCTGACAGAGCTACTGATCTTTAACTGTATTTTGGTGATGAAATGATCTGAGAACATCCAGTGCTGATGAAACTCAAAAACCTCATGAAGTCATACTTGGCAAGTTACATTCATCAACAAAGACTTTACGAAGAACAAAAATTATAGCTCTGCAGACCCCAAGAGCAGTTTTGGTGAAAGCAGGCAGCCTTCAGAAGTGACTTGGCAGGAAAAGAAAGAGGGCAGTAGATGTCCCTTTCTGCTTTCTGAAGGCATAAATAAATAAGGCTGGAAATTGTTCTTTTTAACCTCCCCCACCCCTTTCAACCACTGGAATCTGCTTTTCATCTGCCTTAGAAATTAAGGCCTCTTAGCCAAACCTTTTCACAGGAGAAGTAGAGAAATTGTGAAATTGAGAAGTTCTGTCCAAAAGGATGACTAGAAGATGTTTTCTTCCTTAAAAAAAATTCATTTAAATCAACAGATAATTAACAGTTTGAAGAAGGATGTTTTCATGTTCAATAGCCTCAATTTTTTATGTCTCTACTGCACTCTCAGTAAATAGCCATGAAAAGACAGAAGGTTGTCACAACTTACAGTATATGATAGATTGAAATAAAATAAGCCACATCTTCCCCCAAAACATGTTCACATAGTAAAAAAATTAGTCTTCCTCCTAAAAAACAAAGTTAGCATATATGCATACTATTTATAATGCTATTATAAATTTATGATATTTTAAAAAATCTATGAATAAAATTAATTAAATGTAATATTAAATATATATTTTTAATTTAATATCATTAACTTTATATAATCTCAAAGCAGTTTTTTTTATCTAGTTGTCTTTGATCTAGCCCCCTGCTCAGAGCATCAGGGCTTGATCAGGTTGCTGAGGGCTGTGTGCAATTGCATTTTGAAAATCTCCAAGGGAGGCGATTTCAGAGTTTCAGTGTTTGCCTGTCCCTGTGCTTAACCACTCTCCGGTGAAGATTTTTTTGTTATGTCCAGTTAGAATTTCTTTTTTTGACCTTGCAGTGATTGCCTTTCAACCTTTTGCTGTGCACTGCTGGGAGAACTCTAGCTCCATTTACTCTCTAACTTTGGCTGAGGTCAACAGCTAGTGTTTTCACCTTAGCCCTCTTGAGCTAAACAAACCTGGTGGCCTCTTTCCCTATGTGTCATGTGCTCCAGCCTCCAACCATCTAAGTGGCCCTCTCCTAGATTCTGCAGTTTGTTAGTGTTTCTTTTGTATCTAGGGCACAAAACTAAGTACAGTTTTCCAAATGAGTGTCTAATAAATGAGTATCTTTACGAGTGCTTCCCTTGACGTGCTCGTTGTGCATCCTGCTACGTGGTTAGCCTTCATTGCTGCAAAGGCATGCTACTGGTTCATGTCCCACTTGTCTGCTAGGACATTTTATGGAATTGCTCTCTGGTGAT